CACACACACACGCACACACTCAGAGCACCGGGGGTAGGGTGGTGGCGGTGGGAACGGAGGGGGAGATGCGATGGTTCAGCCAGGGGACGTCCAAGCCGAAAGAGAAAGCACACACTTGTCAGGGGAATCGCAGCGCGGATGCAGCCGCTTTTCTGGCACACGGGCGCTGCATCATCAATCCAGTCTAGTCTGCTCAGTGGTATCTGGGCCCGGGTCGGGTCGGGTCGGGTCGCGGCGGCGGGGGGGGGCGTTAGTGGGGGGCGAGGGGAGCAGGTAGGTAGCGGGGGGAGGGGGGTGGCGCTCCACCAGTAAAATGCTGTTTGCCAGAGCAGGCTCAGACGGGGGCGGCAGTGAAGCGAGCGTGGCACGCCCCCCCCCCCCGCGGGACTACCTGGCCCCCCCCTCCCCCCCCGGCCACGGGGCTTGCTGGCTCTTGGGGCACAGGTGACTCGAACTCGGCTCTGAGCAGTAGATAACGCTCTCCCTTGGCATCTTTGCCCCCTATTCACGGAGAACTCTCTCCCCCCTGTTTCTAGGAGAAAAAAAAAGTGCGTTCGCTACATACAAGGTGAAGGCAGCTGCCTCAGTCCACCCTCTTCAGATGGAAGCTTACTAGACTCGCCTCCTCCCTCCCCCAACCTGCTAGGCTCCCCTCCCCAAGACGCCAAGTCACAGACTGAGCAGACCCAGCCTCTCTCGCTGTCCCTGAAGCCCGACCCCCTGGCCCACCTGCCCATGATGCCGCCGCCGCCCGCCCTCCTGCTCGCCGAGGCCGCCCACGGCAAGGCCCCCGCCCTCTGTCCCAACGGGGCCCTGGACCTGCCCCCCGCCGCCCTGCAGCCGCCCGTCCTGTCCGCCTCGTCTCTGGCGCAGCCGTCGACATCTTCCTTACATTCCCACAGCGCCGTGGCCGTGGCCGTGGCCGGGACGCAGCCCCAGCCGCTGTCCCTCGTGACCAAGTCTTTAGAATAGCTTTAGCCTCGTCAGCCCCGGTTGGTTTGCGTAGTGTTGAGTTCCGCTTCTGTCCACCCCCCGCCCCCCCCCCCCCCCCCGCCCCCCCCCGCACCCCCCTCCCCCCCCCCCGAAAGGTTTCGTTTTGTACTCTTAATTTTGTGCCACGTGGCTACATTAGTTGATGTTTATGGAGTTCATTGGTCAATATTTGACCCATTCTTATTTCAATTCCTCCTTTTAAATATGTAGATGAGAGAAGAACCTCATGATTCTACCAAAATTTTTATCAACAGCTGTTTAAAGTCTTTGTAGCGTTTAAAAAATATATATATATACATAACTGTTATGTAGTTCGGATAGCTTAGTTTTAAAAGACTGATTAAAAAACAAAAAGGAAAAAAAAAAGAAGCAATTTTGAAGCAGCCCTCCAGAAGGAGTTGGTTCTGTATTATTTGTATTAAATACGAGCTTGCGAACCAATCATTTTACATCTGGTTTTTAAACCATAAGGGCACGAGGAATGCAGTGCCGTTACTCTTTTTTTTTTCTCTGTGTGAAACAACTTTAATTGTGATGTTACTTGTTATTGTTTAAATGTACAGAAACAAAGGGTTAAATGTGTTAATATACCTTGTTCCATGGTGTTGTTCTTTTGGGGGGAGGGGGATGCTACTCAACCATTAATGGAATCACAACGCTGTTGGACCAGTAGTATTTATTGCTTTAGAGATTGCTCGTCGAACCTGTATGTCGTCCCTTTTAAAATATGTTTTCCTTTTTCTTGAAACTGTATAAAGTTTTTTTCCCCTTAGCATAAGCATCTTATATATAACAACTCATTTGTACAAGGTTTTTAAGTTTATATATAAAATGTGTATATATATTTTTTTGTTTCTCTTTTTGACTTTTTTTTTTTTTTTTTTGGCTGTATGAAACCCAGATGCCGCCAAACGGACATTAATAGTTGCGTTTAAGGATCAGTAGCATTAACGAAAGTTGCTTTAAAAGCCATTATGTAAAACAAGACTTGAAAATTAGTGAGGGAATTTTAGCGGACGCTGTCTGAGCAGCAGCGGGAACCACCCTGTTTCTCCTTTGAACTCACAGTCGCCAGTTCTGTGCCCTTAGGACGTGGCCCGACTGTGTGCAAAACTTTATGTGCCAAAATTCTCAGTGACTTTAGCTTTCTCCCTCTTTTCGATGCTGTAATTTTTGTTCATCATGTTTTGCTGTGATGTTACATAGGTAGATTTGTATGTAGTTTTAATGTCACCTATAACAAGACGTGTTTGGTAGCAGATTGTCCAGAAAGCATTTTAAATGAAGAGGTATCAAACCCTTAGGGGCCAAAATTCTGTATATTAGATTACTCTTAAAGGAAAAACCAGCTGCCGCTTTTATGTACACGTATTCCATACGAGTAGGTGGCAAACTTTAAAAATAAGAAAAACCCTAGGCATGTTGATGTTGCAAAATGCTGTATAAAGCTGACACCTGTTCACTCAGTGCCATTGTAGTTGACATGAAGCGATTGTAAGACTGTCTCCGATTTTTCTCTGGTTTATTAAAATGCTAACTATAACATTTTTTGTGAATACTTTGAATGTTTCCTAACAGTTGTGATGTTACCGTTCCGTTTTATGCTCTTATTCCAATTTCATTTTTAATGGTTTGGAAGCCATTTTTGTAATGAATAAATGTTCATGCTGTACAATATCTGTAGCATGCCGTTCTGGATTAATAAAAGCAACTTAGTATGTGCAGATGAAGGCTGGTCACTTGTTTCTGTGATTTGGATTTGGCCTCTGGGGAGGCTGAATCTACCTTCACCGGGACTACTGTCTTCCCAAGCCAGACCGTGACACCGGACCGCATGGTTGGTGTGGGTGGCGGGTTGGGACTTGGGTCTCAAAAAGTGGCCTTGCACTCCTCTGATGGGTCGGGATGGTTTCCTTCCCCCACTCGTTCCCAGTGCCTCTGTGCCTTATCAGTGTCCCTGGTTGGTTCCTTCCTGAAAGCCAAGCACAGTCCCAGAGTACATGGCGCTCTTCTGGCTCTAAAACGGCCATCCTGGGGACACCTGGGTGGCCCAGTCGGTCGAGCGACTGACTCTTGATTTCGGCCCAAGTCGTGATCTCGAAGTTCGGAAGTTCGAGCCTCGCACTGGGCTGTGCCTGTTTGGGATTGGGCTGTGCGCTGACAGGGGTCCTCTCTCTCCCTCTCTCTCTGCTCCTCCCCCACCTGTGCTCTCTCTCTCTTTCTCTTTCTCTCAAAATAAACAAACTGAAAAAAAAAGATTTTTAAACAGCCGTCCTGGTATATCTTAGAGGTCCTTCTCACGGTATCCCGCAGAAGGGATTTAATTTGGGATAATGACACGTAGTTAGTTCACCAGGAATCGATTTGAGACACCACATCATTACCGCTGATGTGAAAGTGTTCTAACTTCTTTCTGCGAGTTGCATGCGGGGAGAGATGGCAGGGTGTCGGATGGCAGCGAGCCTTGTCGAGCAGGAAGGTTTCCAGAAAACTGGACCAAGACGAGTCACTCAGAGGCTTGTCTGGAAGGGTCTTGCGGTCCGTGGGACTCACGTTCTGTGGCTGTGCCCTGGCGAGGGTGCAGGTTCATCATCATCACGAACCAGGGGCCACAGTGAAGACCTGGCGGTCATTTCTCCCGCCAGGTAGGATGGATGGATGCACAGGTACGGCCCTGCTACTGGAAAGTTCGTGTTAGGCCTCTTTGCTCTCACGAAAGCGCTATGTTAGCACCTGTTTTCACTAACTGAAAGAAACCCGAAGAGGACTTTGGCTTTCGCGAGAAAAAGGCGAAAAGTGAAAATAGCGACCAGTATTTGGCCGCGAGGCGTTGCAGAGGCAGCGAGAGTGGCCCCGGGAACGACAGTCAGCATCTCGGCGTCAAGCTGCCGCCACTCTGAACTGTGTCTGTGAGCACCTGTGCGCCTCTCCGTTTATTCTGTGCGTCCGGAACGAGGATGTGTCCTAAGGTACCAGACGAGGCTCAGGGAGGTCATTTGGGGGTCTGGGAATGCTCGAAATTTTCCCCTATAAATTCGTGGTAATTGCTGCTTCGCTTGACGCCTGGCTTCAGCTTTTACCCGAGGTTCCCTAAGACTGCGCTGCTCCGGACAGCGGGGGAAACCTGTGTATGTTCCACTCATCTAGGACAACTGTACCTTCCGGGGACATGATTTCAATGGGCCTGGAAGCTGTTCGTGTTGTTGCCGCTGCTACTTGAGGCCACGCGGTGTTGTCATCGAGGGCTTTAAAGTTCCTGCGCTTTGCTCGAGCTGGTTTTTGTTCTGTCGCCTCTCAGTGATTTCGTTCTCGTTTTGCTTTGTATTCCCAGAGAGAAGTGATTCTGGTCGCCCTTCCCCATTTTATTTTGCACACTGGGCCCAGAGTGACCTTTGAAAACACAAATCGGAACAATATCTGTCCTTTGCGGCCGCGTGCCTAGTCTTTATGTGCCTTTTCTCGTTTAATCCTGAACATTACCACCTGTGCTCGATATTATTTTCCCTGCCCCCCCCCCCCCCCCCACCCCGTGCTTTATTTTCTAAAACCGGGTTTAGAAGCTCTGAGTTTGTATCTTGTCCAAGGGCACGCAGCTAGTAGGGTGGAGGGGCTGGGATTTAAATTCAGATCTGACCGCAAACGGGCGTTCTTCACTTATGCCTCCTTGTGTCGTAAGGCTGGTCCTCCTCCCAGAGTGATGGGACAGTCCTTTTGAAGGGTGTCCTTGTTTGCCCCCACTTCGTCCACTGCCCCACACACTCACCCACACCCTTTTTCCCCCTCTCCTGGAAGGTTCGGCTCCGCTCCTGCAACCCCACTTCCTGCCTGGATAACTCCTCATCTTTCAGGTCTGAGCGTAGACAATAGTGAGCGATGTCTCCCTCCTATGTGCTCTTCCGGCTTCCTGTTTTTCCCTCCCTTTGATCCCCTCGCCCACCGTGGTGTCAGTGGATGTTGTCTAGGCCACTAATAGTGCCACTTAGCACCACTGACATCTTTTGTCGTGGGGGACTGTCCTGTGCATTGTCGGATATTAGCATTCCTGGCCTCTTCCCCCTAGATGCCGGTAGCACCCCCGGCACTAAGACGTCCAGAAAATGTCTTCAGACTCTGCCAAACATCCCCTGGGGGGCAAACTCGTGCCCCGTTGAGAACCGTGGCTCTAGAGAGCCCTCCAAGAGGAGGAAACGTGGCTTTTAGGTTCACTGCTGTATACTAAGGTCCTGGTTCGGTGCCTGGCACATAGAGGGTGCTTTGCTACATATTTGTTGAAGGAAGGAAGAAGTGTGGTTAGCCAGCTCAACGTGCGTATCTTGAGAACCAGAGAATGGCACCTTAACAGAGTGCTTCCGCATTTTGTGTTCTTCGATCTTCCTAATCCTTCCTAAGCCTTTCAGCCATGCGGGAATGAAGCTCAGTGCCCTTGTTACAAAGGCAAAAAAAAAAAAAAAATTGGGTGGAGCGGGGAGGGGATGATCCCTCTGTCTTGAGCCAGCCTGAGTGAAGATCACTTTTTAAAATTCAAAGTGTAGGGGCACCTGGGTGGCTCGATCCGTTAAGCGTCTGACTCTGGATTCTGAACTCTGGATTTTGGCTCAGGTCATGATCTCACAGTTCGTGAGTTCAAGCCCCGCATCGGGCTCTGCACTAACAGTGCAGAGCCTACTTGAGATTCTCTCTTTCTCTCTTTCTCTTCCTCTGCCCCTCCCCTGCTCTCTCTCTCTCTCTCTCTCTCTCTCTCAAAATAAACAAAAATATTCAAAGATAGGTCACCCAGCCTCATGTTGACTGCCTCACAGCTTTGAACAGTAATACCCTGGGTCCCTCCCCACCCTGACAGGGAACTTCCTTTGCCCCAAGTCTGTCTTTCTCCACAGTTTAGGTTCCAGGCTCCCAGAGGCCAGGCCAACTCCCTGACCTTTAACACTCTCTCTCCATCTGTTGGGTTTCTTCTGACCTCGGAAGTTCATTTCTCATCCGAGCATCTTCTGATGTCACCCATCTGTGGGCGTGTTGTTACTCAGAGACCCCGAGACCACTTCTAGGAGCTCATAGCCCTCTGATCTCTGAGCCACATCACCTCTGCCCTCGGATGAGACCCGACCAAAGAAGTTTGTCTGTCAGGAGAGTATATAGTTTCCTGTGGCTGCTGTAACAAATTAACACAAACTTAGTGGCTTCCAACGACAGCTCTCCCAGCGCTGGAGGCTGGAAGTCCGGAACCCAGCTGTTGGCCGGGCATGTTCCCGTCGGAGATTCTGGAGACTCTCCCGGCAGCTGCCTACAGTCCTGGGTGTCGCTGGGCTCGTAGCCAAATCAGTCAACTCTCTGCCTCCGTCTTCACACCGCTACCTCCTGTGTGTCTGTCTGGAAACTTTCTGTGCCTTTCCCCTTGAGGATGCACGTGATGGATCTAGGGCCCACCTGGGTCATCCTGGCTGAGCCACTTCCTTCTAGATCCTTCACTTAATCACACCTTGTGCCAGATAAAACAATACAGGTTCTAGGATTTGGACACGGCCTGTATCTGGGGGGGGCGGGGCGGAGGGCAGCATTCAGCCCACTACGGAGGCATTTGCTGATTCTGGGAGACTACAGAGTCTTAGCATGGAAGCCTCCAGAATGGGCAGTGGTACTGCTAACGGGTGGTGGTTTGGGACAGATCCATGTAGAAAGTGGTTTTCCGTTTTCGGTAATGGGAGGTTTCGTTGTTTGTTCCGGTGATGTGGATGCGTGGAGGGTCAGGTAGGTGCCTTTCATCCGGATCTAGGATGTGAAGAGAGGACAGACCAAGGAGCAGTGCAGAGAACCTGAGCTTGGAGACTCTTAACACCGGACTCCCGCCCTGTGTGTCCTTGGGCAGTTCCTCCAGCTCACAGGTGGCGACAACAGAACTCGTTCTGACAGATTGAGGCCATAATTCAGCACCTGGAGTGGGAAACCATGGTGTTTATTGTTATTATCAAAGTACAAGGCCAGTCAGAGCTATTTCTCCCCCCATTATTTCTCTTCAGGATTCTGTGAGTCCTGCCCTCCAAACCCAGGTTGGAGAGTGGGACACTTTGATGTGGAAGACTCATCTCGGGTTGAGGGTCCCCGGGACGCTGTGACTCACCGACAGTTCGCCATCTCGCCCGAAACGCGATGGCTCCATAAAAATGGCTTCTTCTCTTTGGGAGGCCACAGCACTAGCTGGAGTGCTTTTTGTGGTATGGAAATGTGTTTTTAATTAAAGCCCTTTGGAAAGAAACAAGGGAATAGCTGAGGAATCTCTTGTGAATGGTGGCTCGAGCAAATGCCAGGAGCCCGGGCTGGGAATCACTGAAAAACAGGGCATAGATTTGACTTTCTCAAGAATCCCCATCTGTGGTTGGCGTCTTCATCTTCCGTTTCAGATGTGGCCCAGCGTTCCCAGGCGTGTGGCGGCGGCAGAGGCCCGGTGTGGGTCTGATGGGCACCGGCCGATTCCGACTCTGGAGTTTGGCGATTTTTTTTTTAAGGTGGCATTTCGTGAGTGCTCTTAGTTGAGCTGTAAGCCCGTTGTTGATTCACTGGTTCATTCAACGACTAATCCTCGAGCACCTGTTTGCACCAGATGCTGTTCTGGGCTTGGTTTTTCCCTCTGAGCCGAGTTCTGCACCCTCTTACGGGACAAAGGCCACCAACATCCCCAAGGCCTGGACAAGCTGCTCATCTGGAAAGTGGCTTTATACAAGGATGAGGGCAAGAG